CATCAATAAATTTTTCGCATTCATGGATGTATTAATTAAACCCGTCGGCAACAAGGGGTTTACATGTAAGTGCACTCCTTCATATTTAATCGTCCATCCCAACGGTCGCAAAAATTTCAATGTATTGGCAAAATATTTGATGGAAACTAATGCCAGTTTCCATTCATTTCGTCCTCTTTGCCAGCGTCCATTAAGGATTGTTATTAGAAACCTCCATCATTCCACTCTCAGTGCTGACATTTCGTCCATATTGTCGGAAAATGGTCGCATAGTGTGGCAAGTTCGCAATATTAAAAAAAAAAAAAATAACCGTCCTTTCCCGATATTTTTTGTCGACATCGAACCCATTGTAAATAATAAACATATCTACAACATCTCTTCATTACTTAACACGAAAGTAGTGATTGAAAAACCGAACAAAACGACACACGCTCCGCCGCAATATTTCAATTGTCAACACTATAGTAACACGCGAAAATACTGCCATCATCCACCGCGTTGCGTCAAATGCAGCGAGGCTCATGAGTCAGATAGCTGCATCAAGAATCACTCCAGTCCATCTAAATGCGTCCACTGTTCCGCAAATCATACGGCCAGCTTCAAGGGTAACCAGTTCTACCAAACTAATCTAAATCGCCACAAAATCAAGTCTTTCAACTCCAAAAAAAATATTACACATACAAAAAAGTTATTCCCTGAGTCTCTCCCCATTGACCCCCATCAATCCATCCCGTCATATGCCGCTGCTACTTCTGGTTCAAAACCGAACATTAATTCGCAAAACTCGAATTTAAATTTAGCTTTTTCAAAATTCTTATCCGATTTAACCTTCAGCATAAATACTTTTCTTTCCGTTATATTAACAACCAATTAATTATAGCATTTATTTTTAATATTATTTCTGTTATTATATTCACTAATATTCCGTTTTTTTTATTTCTTATCTGACATCATTATCTTATTTATTATTATATCATTATGCTCATTATGTTCAATTACCAATTATTACTTATTATATAATTGTCGAACTATAATATAATAGTTTATATTGAAAGTTCTTAATAAAAAAAAAATAATATTATTGCTTAATGGTGAATGGTTCTAACCGCGATGAAGACAACGTTTTATTTCTGCGGCAGATGGTAGATGTTTCAAGTCTGTGCACAGTAAATACGTTTTGGATAGAAGAATTCTATAGTGAGGAATACGAGAAAACGTTTTTTTTAACGAATATAACGAAGTTCGACCAACTGGTTAGGTGGGAAAAAATCGGCTTCTCGAATTGTTCTGCACGCCCTTGAAAAAAAAAAAAAAAAACTGAAACGGCACAGAAAGTCTACCGGCGAACCAGCGACACTGCACGTTCCCTGACAACAATGTCGGCAATTGAAGGTCGACGATCTAATCGCAACCCACCCGGCGAAGATCAATTCAGATCATGGTGGCAACACAAATATATGACGATCTTTTTCCGGGCCATTACCAACGCGCAGCGCCTCTTCAGGCATCGCCCAGCCAGTCAATTGGCCCTCGAGTTTGCTGATGGGAGAGTGCGCACTCTTCCCCGACAACTGTCGATGCGTATCGTCCCCGGCCAGTTGCCACCAGAATCGCTCCTCTGCAGATCCGATAACGCCCCTGCAACTCCTAAAAGCCACTCGCGTGACTCGGATTAAATTTCCCCTCACCCCAAAACTAAAACAATACGTTTCGTAAACCGTTTCATTACGGAACAGACTTGACATTCTGTCTGAAAATGTGTTTGCGGACAGGCGTTTTGTTTCGACCCTGACAACGAAACGTTTCGTACACGCCATGCTCGCACTCGTTTTCATTCCCATGCGACTCATAATAATTATAATAGTTTGGATGTAGTCTACTGCACAGCGATGTTAGTTTGGTGTACGTTGATAATAAATAACATTTAGTAACACCACCGTCGCAACGCGCTTAACCAAAAATTACATTTTTTATCAATTTATCATATCAACGTGATACAAAAGAAATATTTCTCGTACCTACATTGTCGTCCAATATTTTATCGAAAATAATGTCCTATTACACTTTATACATCAGTATTGTTCGAGAACTCAATAGCGCTTTTGCTCATATTATATTTACATTATTATTCGAAATCCACAAAAGGTTGTTTCCGATTTTTAGTAAAAATCATATCAGAAGTAACGGTAAATTTATCTCAAAATTAAAAAATCATGCCAGTGATTGATAGTTTTGAAATTTCTATGTGTTTATTTAACAATGTTATGAAATTCAGAATAGTGAATATTATAGTAATTTTATTAAAAACAAATAGCTATGACATTTTTTTTTTTGTGTGTTTTAAAATGTCGTGGTCGAAAATAATTTGCGAGTCCCCTCTAATCAAACCCTAATGAAATTATCAATGAAAAAGTATTTGTTATACGTATTAGATGATAAATTTATTAAGCATTAATGCAAAACAACACGATATTTTATAATTTCTTTACTTGAATTAGAAATTTAATTTATGCCTACATGTTAATAATTAATTTTTTACTAAAATTTCATAATAATCATTATTAAGGAATTGTACGTATTATTATAATATAATATTTAAGTACACACTTTTTCTAGAATCCCACTTGAACATTTAGGAAAATTCATATTCTGTTTTATTATCCGATTGTTGAAGAAAATGTATAAAATAATATTCAAACACATTAAAATCATATTTTTTTTTGTAAAATTTTCTCTTAATTATATCATATATGTTACATTTTATAAATATATTTAACATTTTCTTATTTAATTTATTATGAAATACAGATCCCATTTTTAATTACAGTTTTTTATTCAGATTTAGTGGGAGTAGTGACATAAAAATTAAACATATTTTATTAATACTGTTTTATTTTGAATATTTAATTGCATAACTTATTTATAAGATGTCAAATAGAAAACAATATTATGAAAATTTACCTAGGTTTTCAACATATGAAACTCTATGTTTTTATTATTTATTTATTTTTAAATCATCATATTATTAAGTCAAAATAATTAAATAATTTCATTTGGAAAAATTAAGTAACAAATTATAAAATTCTTTAAGATTTATTTAAAAATAATCCTACTAAATGTTAATTTGATGACTGGGCGTTTACAAACTTTTTCAAACTAACCTAGTTCAAATTAAAATTTATAGCATAATCAAATAATAAGGAAATGTAAGTTCTTTATTAGACACATTTCTCTGAAATTATATATTATTCATTATAATTCTTAATTTTAATAATCAATAATTAGGATATTATATTTTTACAAAATTGTATTTAAATCGTGCCCCTCATTCATCGTAAATTTATGTCGTTTCTTAAATTATATTTTAACATGTTTATATACAATTAGAGATCGTTAAAATATTACAGAAGTGCAAGTCATTTTTAAAACAACTTAAAACTATATTTTTGCTAGATGTAGATAAATTATCATTATAATAATGGATAAAAAGGGTATCTGATTTTTAAATTGTATGAGTATAATAAGATTTTTTCAATCTAAAAATTCAAGAAATATACTTCAGGCATAAGAACTTATTGGTGTTTATTTTGATCACACGTTGACTAAAATGTTATGTCTGTACATTTTTTTCTACAGATAAAAAATATTATATTTTATAATATTAGCAATATATATTCAATACATAAATAGTTAAAATGATTATACTGATTAAATTTACAAATAGTGTAACTGTCCACTACCGATTTATTTTTTCTGGAAAACAAACGTTATTTGAAATATATGGTTAAGATCAATATGTTTTTCTTGCAGTTTCAATAATTCTAATTTGTTGATTAACATTAATTTAATTGTACACAACTAAAATGTAATATATAACGTTAATATATCTACTTAATTCGTTAAATATATTTTCGTACACTATAAATTCAATTTTTACTTTAGAAATTAAAATAACTTACAATGTAAACGATTATTTGTAATTTTTGTTTACAATGATCTTCAACATAATATTTAACCAGTTAAAGTAATTTTAATTCAAAAATAATAACAAAGAGCAAGTTAAAATCGTTATACTGGAACTTTTTTTAGTATCGATTTTTTACGAAAAATGCGTTAAATTATTTTGTTTTATTTAAATGTTATGAGAAAAACAAGTTTCTTTTACCTTCAGAAATCTGTTTTATGTAGAATACCGTATGCATATTATATTGTACCTATTTATATATAAATATATATACACACACAAGACAATTCACGTTGTGCATGTATAAAACGTATACCCTTTTGTCTGCCTCACGTTTTATATACTTTGGCAACTTTTAAATAGCCGCTTTTGTGAGTTCTCTAAAGGAGATTGTGAGGAGCATTTGCGAGTCCCTCAACACCAGTATACTTGTACCGTTTGTAACCCGAGACGGAACTACTTTGGAGTGTGTCCACTCAATAAAATACATATAGTAAAAATAAAAGAAGATTCGTTCAATCACATAGAATTATTTTATTAACAAATATTATTTTTTAACAACTATGATTTATTTTATGTGAAGACGATGTTTGATCTACATTTTTCATTTTAATCGAGTGCTTTATTGCTTTATTTTTTATCACTTTTATTTTATTTTTTAAGAATTACATTTTAATAATTTTATAAACTCTAAAACTTTTTTTAAAGAAAAAATAATAATAATAAGAATTTCCATTATTTTAAAATTGGTAATCGGGTTACTTGTCTTTGTCTTATTTAATAATGATCAAAGGAAACATATTATGTGTAAGTAAAGTAAAATTAATGAAACGTTTGAATCAAATAAAGTTAGGAGTTACATTAGAATATTTATTATGTTAAAGTGTTACGTAGTATATGGTGTGGATTATATTATAATGCGTTTACTAATCAGTGATCATTTACCAAATTTAAGGCTATTATAGAGTTATTTTTAAATTGATTATATATAGCTGTTTTATTTCAGAGTTTTTAACATTTATTTTATTATTTACAGTGTACTGGTACAAGATGTCGACGGAATTTGAATAAAGATAAAAAGACGAAGGTAAGTGCTTTAGTTTTGTTATTACTATGATTATTTTGTGAACATATAAAAGTTTAAATTTTTTATAGTAAATAAATACTGTAATCATGATGGTTTTCTAAAAAACGACACTAGTACACTTTTATAATAACGACACTTACCTGATTATCAAAATATATACGAGTAAAAACAACTGTTTGATTTTTTGAAACTGCATTTACCTTATTATTGTGTAATATAAGTATTATCGATTTAATATAAAATAATACGAAACCTTTAAGTTTTGATACGTTTTTGTGTCTAGTAAACAGTAATTTTATTTTATATTATGTCTATTGTATTACAGCGAATAATGCATATAATTGATGATTATCAATAAAAATGGTTTTGATATTCAATTATTATTTATTTATTTAATTTTTTTTTTCTCTTATTCAGATTTTAGCGATGAGTTTCTTCCTTATTTTTTTTGGATATAAATATGAAATCATTGTCATTTAATTTAATTTACGTTTTTAATAAATATAACATTTTGAAAATTAGATTTTTTTAAAAAATATTTGAATCAAATACATTGAAAATAAATTTTGTTTAACATCGTGTATATTATTTAATTAAAATAAATAGAAATTTCATAAATAATATTTCTCTATATTTGTTCTTGATGTAATGTTTTAGTTTCAATAATTTATTACAATTTCGAACAATTGATAGTAAAATCTATCTACTTAATAAATATTATAATATATCATCAACAATTGTGAAGTTATTGTTAATAACAACATTTTAGCATTCAAATTTAATTTGAAATTTTTTTTTTATCGATATTTAATACAACTATAATACAAATCGGCAGCAAAGGCCATTAGTTACACTGTCTACTAACCTTAATTACAATTAACAGTTATTTTAAGTTTTTACACTATGTTTCATTAATTTTAAATTACTATTATAGTTTGTCACTTGAATTAGTTCATTTTAATTGCTTTATAATTTTCTTGTTTTGATCCGATTTCGGTCCTAGAAGTGTGTCAAGAGTTAGCAGTCATGTGGAGGTTTATTCGCTCCTGTTTATTTCGTTGGCATTCAATTAAGAAATGTATTATCGTGATTTGTGAGTCATATACTTCACATATTATGGGTTCTTCTATTTGAACTTTATTTCATTCTTAGAGGAATTTTTTTTTTAATCACACAATATTCAAGATTCAACTATCAGTATCAATATTTAAATATTCTTTTTCGAAACCTATTAAAATCAAAATATTTTTATGTAAGAATATTTATTTTCATAAAATAATATAACAATTTAATACATTTTTTCCAACATAAGTATAAAAATTAATTGTTCCTAATAATTATTATTTTATGATTCTTATATAAGTAAAAAAAGTATATTGAGTTATATTCAATATAATAATAAATTTAAAATTATTTTTAATTATAAAGAAGATTTATTCAGTATATATATATATATATATATATATATATTATTAACATATAATTTAAGCGGTATAATATAATAAAAACAACAATTTAAATATATTTGAATTTTGTTTAGTACGTAAATTTGTCAAGATTATGTCTTATTTAACTTCAAAGATCTAATAACAATATTTCAGAGTTCATGATTATTACTACTATAGAAAAATAAAATTATTAATCAATGGTCTTCGTTGAAGGTCTTTGAGTTTATTATTTTAAATTAGATAAGTACTCGAGTAGATTTTCGTGCAAAGTTAAATAAGATAAGTAATGAAATAAATTGCTTTAGTGAATATTAAGTTTTCGAAATTTTAATATCAGACAAACCTAATGTTACACATAAAACTCCCAATAACGTATTATAACCAATATATCTTTGTAGTTCTCAGTGGTTTATAAGTAACGGTGTCAAATACCTTTATATATTGTAAACAAGTATAATGAAAACAAATAGTTTTCATTTTTAATTTTATTTTGAAATAACTACCTTAGTATAAAGTGTAAAGCTTATTACTCAATGTTGTAGTATAATTTTCTCTCATTACTGTTTAAAAATTATATAATTATAATTACAATGTATTACAAATTACAACACGTACCCTACATTCCTAATATGAGAAATTACAGGATTTAAATAATAAGATATCTAAACAATATATTTGTATAATATAAATTACTTGTTCGTGTAAACGAATAAATTTGAGTGAAAATACAACAAGACCTCCTAACAAGTAATTTTTTCACTATAAGTCATTTTTTGAATAATCAGTTATTGAAACTCTTTTATTTTTATACATTTTATTACTCTGTTTACCTATATACTATAGAAATCCAGTCTTGTTAAGTACTCGAGTACAAGTATTTGAATAAAAGTATTCAAATACTTTTCATGAACTCAAATACGTATTTTAAATATTTTTTCAGAGTACTTTCCCTATACTTTCCCAGAGATCTGTCTTAAAAATTAAATACTATTTTTTTTACACATTTTATTTCAATTCTATCTCATTTGAATAATAAATTAATTTACCAATTACGGTGAAATTTCCATAGAACGAAGTGTTACGGGAAACAAAAAAAAAACAAAAATCGTATTATAGAATAGTCAATTTCAGACAAGTCCGTTTAAAATACCAGAACTTGAAAATCCTATTCATAGGTTACAACAGTGATACCAAACCCGTGGGCCACATGTGACCTCAAAGGAATACAATGTGGCCTGTTACATTTTTTTTAAAAGTTTAAATTTTATTTTCGTATATTTTCTAATAGAAATATCACGATATAACCCGTACACTTAACAGAGAGTACTGATCTCAATCAGTAAACTTTTCAGTATTCAATAAAATATTTGAAAACACATTAAAATATACCTAAATGTATATTGTATTTGTATACCTACTACGTGTAACACAATTATTTTATTAGATTAATATTGACATTATTCGTACTTTTATATTTGGTGGCCCACCGAGGAAAAAAGGTTGGACACCACTGATCCACAACATAATACACTGTATGTATATAAGATAAATAATTTTATGAATTTTTTTTTTTAAGTATTTAAAAGTATCTATGAATATTATTTGAAGTATCTGTATTCATACTTGAACACTTTTTTTTTTTTACCAAGTATTTATACGTATTATGGAGATATTATTTAACACATTTTAAAATTGGTATCTATGGGTATTTGAATAGTTTTTAAAAATATCTTATACAAGACTGTAGACATTTTATTTATCCTTTTGCAAGAACAACTTTTTTTAAAAAAAAAAAAAAACAACAATTTTTACCAATTTTAATAAATAAATAAAATATTTATACTAGATAATAGAAAATATACTACACATTCAATTTTTAAAGTTAAGTAATTTTAATGACTAAACAATTTCTAATCATATATTTCTCATTAATATCGTAAAAAAAATTGTTTTTAACTTTTTTGGGGAAGAGATCCTTTTTATGTACCTATGTTTCATATTGTATACGAATTTAATATATCAAATGGTACATTAAATAAAAAAAATTAAAAAAAAAGTATTATATGTTTATGGATTATAAAAATATATAATAATATGGTAAATAATGGTTAATAACATAAAATGTACAACCAAGTTTCTTAATTTTTATCTAAATCTTAATTGTAAGGTTTGTTCAGAGATACTTACGATACATGTACATGTTGCTATTATAATGAGAATTAAAGTTGATAATTATTACAATTCGTATTGCTATTTGAGGTCGTGTGCGAGTTATTCTCTTGGCATTTCCTGTCAGTGGGTGGTAGAAGGATTTCAACAAATTCTTATGATATGTGATTGTTAGAGATGGACGGGGGATGGAGTTCAGATTGAGATACGGTACTGAACGACTTGACGATATTGATGGGAGGTTGAGTTTAGGGAGGGAGTTGATTTTCCAAAGGTTTTAATTAAGGTGAAACCGACATTGCGGTAGTGGCTGTATAGGCGGCGGAAGCAGTGTTGAGGCGATTCGTGAGGGACCGGCGGAACTTCGTCTCTCACCCGGAAAACTTTCGACCGTGTCTAACATTACGCGTGCGGTCTGGGGATAAAATAGGGGGTCAGGGTCCTCTTATCGATTCAATAGTACTATACACTCGGTGCGTGCGTGTGCGCGAGCGCGAGTGCGTGTGTGCGTGCGTGTAATTTTGTGTACGCGTGTGCGTGTGCTGCGCGTATATGTGTGTGTGTGTGTGTACGCGTGTGCTTACGCATGTATATATGCGTGTGTATAAGCGTGTGCGTGTGCGTATACGCGTGTGCGTGTACGCGTGTGCGTGTGCGCTTGTGTATGCGCGCGCGCCTTTGAACTCTTATCGCGAACGGCGTATAATACTTGTACACATGTATACGCTTTAGACGTGTCAATATTGTATACCTGTACACGGGCCGGTGTATACAAATGAATATATTTCGTGCACGAAAAATCCGCTCGCACGCGCCCGCCGAAATTCGCATACTTCAACGTGCCGTCTCGAAGTACATAAATGATTTAGTGGTTCACGAGTGTGCAGCGCAATATTATAGTCGTAAAAGAATACGTACGATGACGTCCACGTGTCGTAGCGTTTTTTTTTTTTTTTTTTTTTTCGGAAATCTACAGGATTTGATGCACTGCATGTTGTATCGTCGAACAACTGAAGCAAAATATGTAAATATGTAATGCGGTTGGCGATCGATTGTCGAAAATGGAAATTAAAAACCACGTTTTTCCGTATAAATTATAATGGCGCGTTGTATAATATATTTTGAAAAGTTTTATAATAATTAATTTGCAAAAAAAAAAAAAAAAATATCGTTCGATCAAATATATTTTGTGTGCCGCTCCGAATCCGAGTATTATCCATATTTTCTTTTTTTTCGGATTTGACTCGTTTTGATATAGTCACGTATCGTTTTGAAATTAAATTTATTGCAATTAATTTTACAATGGAACATGCCTGCCTTTTTGCAATTTAATTTATCTGAAATTCATGTATAAACACCGTTCAAATATTGTTCACACAGTAA